TGCACCCCAAACTATCGCTCTGTCGCTATAGCGAGAAGGCGACAGTTTCGGTCCTTCCTCGCAGGGCCTTCTCGCTACAGCAAGAATCCTCTTGCTGCAGCGAGGACAACCCAATATTACACCTTGCACTTAGGCACTTAGCCCATTTTCAACTCTATCCAGTCATGCATACACATATATATACACATATCCACAACATACATATATATACACATATTCATACTCATTACATACAAAACACCATAATTATGCATTCAATGCAAATTTTCAACATCCATTTACACTTATACTCACATATACACGCATTTAGATTTATATAAATAACAATAATTAATATTACAGAATTCAGGGCGTTATATACCCTATCTCCTTATGCTTAGAATTCATTTATATTGCTATGTATTGGAATGTGATTAAGATAAAATGTAGAAAGATGGGTAATTGGATGAAAATGATTTTATTTGCAATAGAATGGTGATAGAATTTGTGTGTTTGTGTATAATGTGGTTGATAGGTGTTAATATGCCATTAGGTGAGAATGAATACCATGATAGATTGAAAATGTGGGTGAAAATGTGTGAATGGCATGAATTTTGATTATGGTTGTGTTTGAAATGTTGAAAACTATGAATGGTTACAGAAATACATTGGGGGTGTAAAAGATGGGGGCGATAGAAATATATTAGAAAAGAGAGGGTGGTGGTGATACCAATAGTGAGCATGGATGCACCACATGCCACACACTCTCCTCCTGACTCGGCCTTTGACTAACACCTTTGATAAGGCGCCTGTGACCGTACACGTTGTATCCGTGAGGCGGGGGCTAACCGATGACCATCCATGGTGTGAAACTGAGTAAGCCCTTGAGGTTGAGGGCATCAGGAATCTGTGATCATAGTGCCATAGTGAGCGTGGCTAACGATTAGTGAGCGGACTTGTATGTGTGGAATGTTTGAAAAGCATGAATGTTTGTTGTTTGATGCATAATTTGAATTATGTTAGAAAAATGTGGAATGTGCAATGTGAGTCTCTATGCTTGTGTGTGTGTGATAGTGTAGAGTACTCACCCTTATATTTATTTTTCAGTTGACCAAAACAATCAGCACTAGGCTCAATGAAAGGGATGGATGAAACTGCTATAAGATTTAGAAAATTTATTTTTAAAACTGTAATGTATTGATGAGTCCTATAACAATAATTTGATTCAAAATTTGTAATCCATTCTTATTTTGAAATACTTTATTGAAATTATGTATTAGGAACCGTTAAAATGAAATTTTTATTATTCCCATTACTTGTGAAATTAATTTATTTAGAAGATATTTAGAAAGTAAATTAACGTGTTACAGATTTCTTTATACAATTGCATTCCAATTCTCCTAGTTCCCTCGTTCTTTTTGTTTCTTTATGAAGTAATTTTGCTTCCATATATATTGCTTCTTTACTTTCAAAAACTCATATACTTTCATATTCAAATTTTGTCCATTTATAGATGGAGCTTTTGTAACACATTGAATTTATTTTCAAAATAATAAATTTTTACAAAATGGGAATAATAAAATTTTCAATTTAAATAGAACTTCCCAAGCATATTTTCAACAAAATATTTTAAAATAACCAAGCTTTACAACTTTTGATCAAGTAACTGCTACAGGACTAATCCAAATATATCATATTTCAAAACAAAGCCTAAGCCCTATAGCAGTTTCATTCATCTTTCACTGAGTCCAGTGCTGATCTTCTTGGTCACCTGAAAAACAAATATAAGGGTGAATACTCTACACTATCTAACACACAGAAACATAGAGACTCACCTCAAGTACTACACATTTGCTAACATATTTTAAACCATTCATCCACAATACAAGCATTTCAGTCAAATATGGTAAACAACATTCATCATCCATTCTAATTCAAAACACAACCGGTGCACTCACTGCATCAATATTTCACACACGTGCGTTTACCGCACCTAGCCATGATCACGGTGGTACTGTGATCACAGTTTCACACCATGGATGGTCGCCAGTTACTTGCACCTCACGGATACCGCATAGATAGTCATGAGTCGCTCAGCAAAGGTGTTGGTCAGAGGTCTAGTTAGGAGGAGAGTGTGTGGCCCGTGGTGTACCCACGCTCACTGTTGGTGTCACCACCACTCTCTCTTCCCCAAAGTATTTCTATCATCCCTATCTTCCACACCCCCAGTGTATCGCTGAACTATTCATAGCATATCATACATGGCATACTTTGCCCACACTTATTCACATTACACTGCACATAGCCCACATTTATTTGCAGTACACGACACATAGGCCCATATTTATTCATAATACTCTGCACTTATGCCATTATTCCCTCACACAACATATCAACATACCATTCATGTCCATTTACGTTATTCAATCACCAATCATTAACACACTCACACACATTTTCAATCAAGGGTATGCCAATCCCAAAATCAAATCATAGTGCATGCAAACACACGATAATTTCCATTAAAACACACATTTTCTACTCTCTATCTCAGCCACATTGCAACATTTAACGAAATAAACGGTAAATCAAATACAATAAGATAAGGTAGAGTCCCTCTTTACCTCAAACGAAGACCCATACACCAAATCAACAAGGTAGGCGCTCCCGCAAACGAATTTCGACCCAAATACATGGAAGAACCCCATGAAAACCCAGGAAAATTGAGAAATCAAAGAATGAGGATGATAAATCGAAACCCTAACCATTAAAACTCACCTCCAACCTTCAGTCTTTCTCTCAAACAGCTTTGGAGGCAATTTAATTGGTGAAATAGTATTTTGGAACGAGAGAATTGAAGGTATTTTGAAGGGAAAGGTGAGAAATGAGATTTCTCAAACCCTAACCCTTTAAATCCCCTTCTGGTCACAAACTGCAATGACACCCTCTCTCGCTATAGCGAAAATATCAAAGGAAACTGCACTCTGATTTCTGCAGAATTTCGCTATAGCGAGACTACACCCAGAATTGCACCCCTCTCTGTCGCTCTCTCGCTGCAGCGAGAAGGTGATCGTTCCATGCCTTTCTCCCAGGGCCCTCTTGCTGTCCCTCTCGCTACAGCTAGAACACCTCAATATTATTTTCTTAGTCCAATCAATCCAATCTGATCATATACGAATACATTTATACACATTCATACGCATTTATACACATCAACATTCAATATCCATCACACACTCAAGTGCAAACTCCAACATACATTCACATTAACACACACACACACACACACACACACACACACATATATATATATATATATATATAAACAATAGTCTATATTACAAAATTAGGGGTGTTAAAGCTTCGATTGCAGCTAGATCTAGAGGGAAGTTATGAGCATTACGTTCATGCATAACTTCCATACCAAGGTTAGCTCAATTAATTATATCAGTCCAAGTATTAATTATATGACCTTGACTATCAACTACGAACTGGTTGAAATTGAAACCATTTAAATTAAAAGTCATGATAGAGTTCACAATTCCTTTATGCCTCCAATTAGATTGGAACTAATTCTAAGTCTTAATCAATGTTCTTAATCATGACAAATAGATTAATCATTAGGAAGTGTAAATAAACAAATAAATACAGTCAATTAAAACTTAGTACTAAAAATCTTTAAAAAAGAGTAAAGATAAAAATTTAAATGACAATATAGATAGTCAAACAAGAGTGCAATATTCACACTCTTTCTATATGTTAGTGATTATTAAGTTGTAAAATTTTAAATAGTTAATTAAAATATATTGTATGATTATTTTAAGATTTAGCAAATTTTATAGATTAAAATAGTAAATATTGTAATTATTAATAAATAAATATTCAATTACTAACGGAAGTTGGTTTAAATAGTAAGTGACTCGGTATTGCTTTTAAGCAAGGTTTTAGATTTGAGTCTTGTGTATGTAAAAAAATCTTGGGATTAAAGTGGATGAGATAATAATAATAATAATAATAATAATAATAATAATAATAATAAATATTCAATTATATTAAATAAATTTAAAAAGTGAAAAAATTTTAAATTAAAAGTTATGATAAAATTTAAAATTAATATTAAATAAAAAAAATACTTAGTGCAGGATCATCTATTTAACATAATGAGATAGAAAATTAATTTTTAAAAGGACAAAATTAGATGCTAGGACCTTGGAATCCCGACTATACGTTATGCATCAAGAAAAAAGATACCTAAATTGTCGCATCATGAATAACTAAAATTACATGATTCTAAACCACAGAAAAAAAATTCACTTTTATTAAAATAAATCTTTAATTTTAATAGATAAACATCGCAACAACACTTAAAGAAATATATAACTTTTATTCATGCACCTATTTGAGAAAAAGTCTAAAAAAAATCCCATTTAAGAGTTTGTCCTCTTATTATATACAAAAAATTATTATTAACATTTTATTTAGACAAGTGGACAATAAAAGTGTATTTAGAAATACAATTTAATTAAACGCTTCTTCAATAAATTTTTTTATATGAGAATTTGTACTGTAAATTTGACAATAATTTCTTAAAACAAGTTCTTAAAAAATTATTCTAGTAGACTAAAATAAACTAACAAAATTATAAAAAATTTAACTATTTTTATAAACTTTTTTAAACACCCTTTAAATATAAATACACTGTATATAACATTATATTTGGATAACTGGCAAGAGAATAAATAAGCCAAGAAAATGACTAGGGCACCAATAACTTGTTTGGTGCTTTTTCTATCACAAATTATTTTCCTTGGTTAACAATAATGGTAGTTTTGCCAATAGCGGGGTTCCTTAATTTTCTTATTTCCTCGTAAAGGAAATAAGGTGATTAGTTGGTATACTTTTTGTATATGCTTAGTGGATCATTGCTTTGTTATAGACAGAAAAGAGGCTAAGGATTAAGGCCACAATTCTCTCTAACTGTTTCTGAAAACGTAAACTATAGCTAAGTTCATTACGAGAGGGATTATAAACAAGTTACATCTTAGACATCCTCAAACAATTGCCTCGGTAGACTTACATTATCAGGTTCAGGGGTTGGCTCTGATTTGCATTCTTTCGTTGGATATAGCAGATAATGTTGGATCATGAAGAGGATGTCAAAGAATAGAGACACCTGCAACGGTTTATTCCATTAATAGCAATGTTGTGTGAGTAGACGATTTATTTGATCAGAACAACAATATAAGATTTTTCAGAAGGAAACCAATAGTACTACTTCATACAGTAAAAGAATGATCCATACCAAGGATAACAGTAGTTTTCCTATGTTTCCATAAAAGTTCACCCAAGAATCTGGAAATCAAAGATGGGATTTGAAAATTATGTATGCCAATTCAAACTATAAATAGAACAAAAGGACCCCTTGGTAAAAAGGAGATGAACGGAGATGACAGACCTTGATCGATTGATTGCATAGACATTTGTGCATAGTTAGCTATCGAGCCAGAAAAGTCCAGTAGAATGTTAACAATGCTCCATCCTTCTGTACTTTTTCTCATAAAGTTCATCACTGCCTGTATTCATAACACAATATTTTACTTAGATAGACGGCTAGCATTAGTCAAACGAAAATCATTCCAATTTATGACCGAAGAAATAACATAAAACAATCCTCAAATAGTAGTCCTTCCAATTTTGTACATTTTGCATTCCAAAATATAATTCATTGATTATAAGACTGGCATTTCTTATAGGCTACCTAGTTCAAAGTTCAAACGTCTAACATCTCCAAAATCAAACTGAATATGACAGGCATTAGAATTAAAAGGAAATCATACAAATTCGAATAGATCCAAACCTGGGGAATATATTTTATAACTGTCATACAAACTTGGATACCACTGCAAGTTGATCAATTTCCACAAAAGTTAGAAAGATATGGAAAAAACCCTTTGTATCATGATTCTCACAGGAAAATTGGTTAATAATCCAGAATAGGAATTTAAACTAGTGCAATTGACCAGGCAATAAAAAAACAAACAATATACGTGAAGACTGAGAGCAGCCAGAGCCAGCGATGATTGTGCAATGCTATAAAGAAACACACTGCAGCCGTCAACCACACAAGAAGGAGGATCCCATAAGCGACTTTAGAAATTTTCTGACTTCCCCTCTACATGAAAATAATGACTATTTTTAGGATAATCATAAATTCATCACAAGAACAATAAACTCAATTAAAGGGAACATGGCACTAACGTCATAGATTGCGATCTGGAACAAGGAAATTGCTGTCAACAACACAGCGTGGACTGAAAAAGCAACATCATTTGCTGCCACAGGTATCATCTGAAATAAATAAGTTAAAAAAGAGATAGATCTTCACAAAAATTTAACTAAAATTTTATGAATGCAGAACGGACTTGCATAAATTATGCTTGATAGAACACCAATCATTCTGTCATATACCAAGATATCAACTATAAAGATTAATCAATTTAGCTTCCATAAGGATAGTGGACATGCATAGTGACAGGAACAAACCTCTTTCTGACCGTATTTGTCTCTGTATTGCTTCTGAATGGCAGAGCTGAAGTACAGAGATGCATTGTATATGAGATAGGAGGTGTGCTTAGTCAAATTCAGGACCACGAAATCAAAGTTCAGCCCCACCACACTATACCACAACCAAAATAAATAAATAAATAAATAAAAGAAAAAGAATTGATGAAAATTTTCCAGAGAAAATAATAGTGATGATGCCTTTTAGGCTAGCAGTACCTTTTTCTGCGAAAGTTCAAGATGACTTGTGGGTAGAAACTGATAGACCAAGCAGCGAAAGCAAACCAACCCAGAACTTCATAGGAGACATGGAGTGGAGCTGAATTCCAAGAAGCCATATTTTAGTTTTTTTTTTTGCTTAGCTTTTTCTCACAGACAAGAAGAAGAAGCCACCAACCTCAAAAGTGCTATGAATGTGTTACTGTGGACCCAATATATCTTATAATGTAGCAATTGTGTTTATTGAAAAACAATGCATCTATTGTTACTGATACACAGCAACTATTACCAAAAGAGAAAAGGGGGAAATTTCCGTTTCTTTCTTGACTTTTTCTTTTATGGGCAATGAATGGGAGTTGTATGGAGCCAGGATTTGTGAAGAAGGGAGAACCATTATGTTTCCCATTAATGTTGCAATAATTTTGAGATTGTTTAGGTTGAACTCATCGAAGTTAGTGCTTTCACAAAGTTAAGTCAAGATGCATTCACGGTCAGAGATGCAAACGCTATTGTAAATTTAACCGCTTACTCGTTCTATATACTACGCTATTGCATGGTTATTTTTAATTTTGAATAAAATTAAAAATATTCAAAATTAAAAATACAAATGTAAATACGAAACTTAAGAAAATATCATCATTGTTGAAAAATAGTGAAATCGGGTATTATATGAAAGACCTTAAAATTTTCGAAATTGAAAAAATTATATATAAAAAAATAAATTATTCAAATCAAAATACATAATCTCTATTTTTATCAATTTGGTACGGTGTGTCAAGATTTAATAATTAACATTCTATTCAAATTTAAATTGGGATTAATTAAATTTTAGTAATAGTATTTAAAAAGAAAAAATTATAAATAAAAGTAATGAGATGCTTTATGTAAGTACTCTATGTGATTAGAGAAGGAAATAGAATTTTTTTACAATGACAAGTATTTTTTATCCGAAGTAATTTTGTGGGTATAAATGTTATAAGTCACAATATTCTCCCTCTTAGTATTTAAAAAGACTATTTTATTTAAATTGTTAGGTTCTGATTATTAAAAAGTATTTTATATTTATATAGAAATGAATTTTAATGAAATATTGTTATATTGTTTAAATAATTTTTAATTTTATTTTTTATTGATTTAATTAAACTTAATAAAAAATATGTCACACAATAGTATAAGATTGACTTCAATAATATATATTTATGAGTTTTAACTCTCGCTAACGATGTACTATATAACTCAGTATTTTTGTCAATTCATTTATTTAAATGATATTATATTTTTCTTATCTATATTAAGAGTATAACTCATTTTTTAAATTTATCAGTTTTTTACATTTTGTTATACAGAATATTCTATTTTTTTAATATAATAAAATATTTAGTAATAAAAATAATAACAACAATAACAATTATTATTTCAATTTAATAAGTAATCTCAAGTTCTGAGTTTAAATATATTCAGTCGTATTAATATTTAAAGAAAGAGTTAAATGATACATGTAGTCTAAACTAATAATAATAATAATAATAATAATAATAATAATAATAATATTTACTAATTTTAATTTATTAAAAATTAAATTTCAAACAGATCATGCGATATGATTTGAATTTTTTTATTAAAATGTTTTAATTTAATAATGTTTATGGAGCCAAAAAAATTAGTAAATATATATACATTGCGAATGATTGAAAATTATAATAAAAAATAATATTTAAATTCATTCTTTGTATATAATTTTTTATAAAGAAAAAATGTTTGGTAAGTATTTCTAAAATATATAGAGAGAGGAAGGATCTTCTTACAGCAGTCTAAATTTAAAAATTCTTACACTCGATCCGACTTTTTATTTAGCTTACATTTAATTATCAGTAAAGTAATACATTATAATCCGTTAGATATAAGTTAAATGAAAAGTTCAGATTGAATATAAGAATTTTTAGACTTATATTAGCGCGAGAAAATCTTACCCAGGATCTTCTTACATTAGTATAAGTCTAAAAACTCTTATATTTAATCTGAACCTTTCATTAGATTTAAATTAAATAAAAGGCTCAGATTGAATATAAAAATTTTTAGACTTACACCGGTGTAAGAAAATTATGTCTCATATATATATATATATATATATATGTATATATGTATATATAAGAGCTAGATCTATTGGATGTCAAACTTCAAATGTTGTATTATTTAATTTATTTATTTTTATTAGATATATCAATTTCATAAAATTTTATATCGAATAAAATTAATATATACTTTATTTTGTAATTTTTTTAATAGATAATATATTTTAAAATATGAGTAAATATCAATTGTTAGATAACATGTTTACAAATGTTCAAATTATATGAAATTTGACATAAATAATTTTAAAGATGATTAAACATTGCATTGATCAATTTTGCATTATATAAAAACTTATTAAGAAGTTAAAATTTACAAACTTGACACATGTTTCATTCATGCAGAAGCAATCTTGTTCAAGTTAAATAAAGTTATTATAAATAACAAAACTATTCTGAATATTTAACACAAATTCATTAGTTGACACTTAAACTTGTAATTATAAGTCAAGCTAAAACAATCTCCTATCAATCCGATCTATGGTAGTAACTATATATGTTAAAATATTAAAAAATTATAAAGAAGTTAGTAAAGTCTAAATTTAAATTTAAAATTAAGATTAACATTTTAGCTAACCTTAAAATTAAAGCTTTAGTAAGAATTTTTAATTAAGATAACTTAAATAAGAGTGTGCATGGATTAAATTTATTAAAAAAATAATTTAAATTCATTTTAAATTTAATTATATAGATTAAATTTTAAATTAATCCATTTTATTTTATCTAAAATCAATTTAAAATTAGTTTTAAAATTTAAATTTTGCTTAAAACTAATTTTAAATTTAATTTTAGTCAAATTAACTTTCTCAACGTAATTTAATGTGATGTATACAAAATTCTTTTTTTTCTTCATAAATTTCTCTTAAACCTTTAGTAAACACATTTGTTATAGTTCTTTTTCAATTTTTATTAGAAAAAATTAACACTCAAAAGTTTAAATTTGGCCACAAGGTATGAAGACTCTAGATCATTGAAAGGAGAGTTAAAATTTAATGTGATATTAAATATAATAATAATTTTTTTAAATATGCTTTAAAAATATATATTTAAATTTTAAAATAAACATTTTAATTTTCTTTTTATATTTATTTTCATTTTTATTACACCATCAATTGTAACATCTTAAATTTAATATCAATAAATAAAGAATTTTGTAAATTTTTAAAAATAATAAAATTTGCATTTTCAATCCAAGTTCATTAAGCATTTTAAATAAAGAAAGGGTTTACAAATTATATCAAACAGTTGCTACAGAACTTATTCCAAATACAATAGTTTTCAAAATAATATGTTAAGCCCTATAACAGTTCCATCCACCCCTTCACTGAGCCCAGTGCTGATCATTTTGATTATCTGAAAAATGAATGTAAGGATGAGTACTCTACACTACCAAAACATGCAATTAAGCATAGAGTCTCACCTCTAGTACATTTTCAATACATTAAACAAATACAGGCACAGGCAACGTTATCAGATCCACAAGCACAAATCATGAACCTATGCATACGCACGCTAGCCAAATTCACATTTACACTGTGATCACAAATTTACACCATGAATGGTCGCCGGTTACCCCCACCTCACGGATACCACGTGGGCAATTACGGGTCGCTCAGCAAAGGTAATGGTCAGAGGTCTAATCAGGAAGAGAGTGTGTGGCCTGTGGTGCACCCGTTCCACAGTCGGTGTCACCACCACTCCCTCTTCCCCAAGGTATTTCTACTGTCCTCATCTCTCACACCCCCAGTGTATCGCTGAACCATTCACAGCACATTACACGACGTTACGCGCCCCAATCACACACATTTCAGTATACGACACTAGGCACACATTTCATTTTCACAGCACATAGCTCACAATTCATTCAAGAAACATAGCCCCTAACCTATTTCCATTCATATTACACGGCCCTCAGGCTTACCTTTTCACATAATGTTCATTCAATTATACAGCACGAGTGCCCAACCCATGCACAACATCCAATACATAATTCACATCATTTCCTTGCATCCAATGGCAACCAACACAACCACATCACTCAATTTCACACAATATGGCAGAGGTCAGACACCTCCGGACTCAACCCAATTCGAACAATTCATCAATACACATAACCTCATCTCCTATTCCTATCACATTACTATATTTGTTCAAATAAACTCATTCCTAACAAAGATAACTAAAGTAAAGTACTCCCCTTACCTCAAAAACAAAGACCCGACACGAAACGTTGATGGAATCGCTTCCCCACACGGATTTCGTCCCTAAAGCACACAGAAATTCCAAGGGAAATTAAGGAAAACCTCAGAAAATGAAAGTAAGGGACGAAAACTGAAACCCTAGCCATAGAACTTACCTCCAAGAGCTCCAAACACTTCCCTAATCCTCAATCTAGCTTTCAATCGGTCTTGGAGGGCTTTACTCGGTAGGAATGAGTTTGGGTAGAGAGAATCGTGAAAAATAACCCCCTTCTCGAACCCTAACTCTTCAAATACCCCTCTGGTCACGACACTCTCGCTACAGCGAAAAAACCAGAGAAAACTGCACTCTGGTTTCTTCAGAATCTCGCTACAGTGAGACCCTCTCGCTACAGCGAGACTGTACCCAGAAATACACCCGAGATTGTCGCTCTCTCGCTACGGTGAGAAGGCGACAGTACTAGTCCTTCCTCCTAGGGCCTTCTTGCTACAGCGAGACTCCTCTCGCTGCAGCGAGAACAGCCCAGTGTATCACCCTGCACTCAGCCCAACCAGTCCAATTCAACATACATCCACCCATATATATATATATATATATATACACATACATATTCACAACACATCTCTAAAATACACACACAAGAGAATACCTTTATTTTTTATATAATTATCAATAATTAAGATTACAAAACTCAAGGCGTTACATCAATCATATTTTTATTTTCTTTTTCTTATTTTTTATTTTTTTCTGTTTGTCTATTTTATATATAAAAAAGTAAGTGTCAACATATAATTATTATTAATTAATTTTTTTAAATTTTTGTTATCTCATTTAGTATTGATAAA